GATTGCCATTGGCAATGGTTCATTAGTTGGAATGAAACCTCACTCGGCTAAACTCCTAATGAGAAAAAATACACCAAAATATTTTACCATTCAAGCATAAAATGGCTCCGGTCATTTTCTCTGTCTCTGTCTCTCTCACTCACTTTCACAATTTTCCCCACAATTAAACACACCAAAATTACCTTGATTAAGTACCGTTGGTGACTTATATAATGTGTTTTTCTTTCATTCGTCGTTTAAATGTTTTGTCCCCATTCAACTGATGATATTAAAGTTTTACGCCGGAAATAAAAGTGGATTACAAAAATGTCAACAACTCAAAATGAATCAATAAATTATAACGTATAATAAATTCATTAAATCTTCATTCAGCGATTTTCTTTTCAAATTACAATCCAAAGTGGACATTCAATTAAAGAAACCAGTGCATTTCTATTGCTCAATTCTTTTGATTAAAAAAAACGAACAAGTTTATAAAGTGTCGTTTGGCTTTTCAAGTACTCGTATAAGATGAGGAGTGTCTCGTTGTGAGTTCGCTTGGTTTCCTCGAGAAAAGTAATAATGTAAAGCGTTTTTAGTGTTGACCGCTTTATTTCTCCGGGATTATTTTTATATTTTCAATTTCTGTGAGAAAAATGTTTGCCTTTTTTCGGGGTCGTGATGCACTTTATCGCGGTCTTACATTTATCATCATGTTGGTGGGTGACTCTTAGTTGTGAAAAACTGCCGTGATCTATTTATTTATCATTTTGTGCAGTTCTCAGGTATTTTGAGAGTTTTCAAAATTATCTTCTTCTTTTCTGTTTTGCTCTGATGTCAATTTATCTTGTCTTGTTGACAAGCTCAAAGTTTGTTTTTATCCTTTAATCTCGATGTATTTTCAAGTCATATTGGATTTATTTCATATTTCACAAACAAGATTAACCGTCAACATCGTCGTCGAGTGCATGCATCAATGCATCCTTACATTTTATTTTATTTACCATTACTAAAATGGATACAAGCCAAAAGAGAACAAACCAAAAGTTAAATAAGAACACGGCAGTCATTTGAAAAACAAACATCGGCCACGCTGACTCCTCAAAGGAGGAAAGGTTAAGGTGAGGCCAGTTAGTACTTTAAGACGAGCAAAATCTAGCAAAAAAATAAAGAAAAACTTTCAAAATCAAATAATATTTGACATTTTCTTTGCCATTTATTTGTAATTTCATTTTCTTTTTGCTTATTAAATTTACCGCGACATCTTTTACTTTGCGCAAGTTTTACTCACAAATGGTCATCGCATTCGGAAAAATTCACTCGCAGCAAGTCAGGTACTCATAACATAATTTTTTATATGGAAATTTTAAATGGTTGATGTTTGTTTCAAACAAGTCCACTTCGATATATTATTCTATATTTAATGTCATTTGCGACGTAAAAATGGTATTCACAAACAATTGATGCCATGTTTTTCGTTCGGTTTAAATTTTAAACGAAATAAAATGGAAAAACGTTCAAATTCAATTTTCGATTTTAAAATAATAGAAAATCTTTGGGTTATATTATTTAAAAAGAGTTTCGGTTTTCCGTAAGAAAGGTTCGTTTTAAATCGGTTTTATAGTTTATTTGACTCGTTTTTTTGTCGAACAAAAACAAATCCTTTATTCAAGGGCACAATATTTACATGATTTTGATTGGATAGTTGTAATTTACAACTTGTGACCCTTATAAATTTGTGATAAAATTAAACATTTCATGAAGTTGAACAAAATCAATATTTCATGAACAATTACAAACCATGGTGAAGAAAGCACATTGAAACGTACGTACAAATCGTATATCACACGATTATTAAATATTTGTAAAACAAAATGTTCCAAGAGCATCTAAACTGTTATTCCAAATCCTTTTGTGGGATGTTGAAATGGGCCCCAAAATATGAATTATGGTTTATTTGTTCACGATTTTTTAAAAAATGTTCCATTGACGTGATGTCGTAGATAAAAAACCGTCCATTTTCCCCTTTCCCTTGAAGTCCCATTTCATTTTTATGCTTCTTTTTGTCAGTTTTTTTCCAATGCATCCAACAACTGATGCGCTATTTCGTTTTGCAGACATAATCCGGAAACGAACATTCAAAGTATAAATCATCAAGAGTCTCTCGTATCTCTTTCTGTATATCTTTGACTCATAAACAAACTCTCATCCCCCCCATTGAATCATTTAATGCGAAATGGTAAAAAGTTTATGTCACAAGCAAAAAGTATTGGGCACTATTAAAAACATCTCCCACAAAACGAATGTCGTTCAATAGCAGCAGCAACAACAACATCGACGACGACGACAATCGAAAAAGGAAAATCTAGATAGAGACAAAAAATGATAGTCTTGAAATAAGTGGCGATGAGCATATGTTGCGGATTAGTATAACCGATTGACTGCGTTTTATCGACATAGAAATGGGCTGACTGTGATCCCGGCACTTTTGCTTAACATGCTTCCTAATCGTGGTTTCCTTTGCTTTAAAGCTAATGCATTCGTTGAATGTTGAGCGTGTATATTGTCGTTATTGTTGTTGCATTTGGGCATCATGATTCGACACCACGAAAGGTGCTTGAATGATGACAGATACCTTGAACATTATGTTTCGAATAAATGCGAAAAAGGTAAATGGACACGATTATTGAACAAACTGATTTCGTATGCATCGCATCGATTCTCTGATCCGTTCAATGTTTGAACATTTGCAAGCGTGCACACAACACTTGGCGAACGAAGGGAAAGACAAGAGTCAGAAGCGTCAGAAGTTGTGCACGGCAGAAAGAAAGAAAGAGAAGAAAAAAAGGCAAAAAGATTGAAATTTGAAACGTGTACATCAGCTTCGCATATTACATTGCAAAAACGATATGAGTCGAGACGAGAACGAGAGAATTTAACTCTAAAGTGGCAAAAATTTTCAAGCGGTAAAAGTTAATACGAGCAAATTTATCAAGTTTTTCCACTTGTTCGCTTCGTGTATGCCCATTCACATAACAATAGACTCCATTCGATGTATATGTATATATTAAAAGGAGATAGAGCATCGGAAAAAATAAGTTGAAGTCACTTTTGAGGCTAGAACGCATTGAAATTCAGTTGGAATCAGCTACCATGCAATGAGTGTGTGTATTAGATGTGTGGTGTGTGTGTGTGTCGGTGTGTCGGGATGAATGCGAATATCCCGATAAAAGAGCAACAATAATGCGATTTTATAATATGAAGCTCGTACAGTTTGTGCTCTTTAAAACATTCATACTCATATTTAATGTGCGAATAATCTGTGCAGTGTGCAGCTGCACGGAACACCATTCTCGTAATCGCAAAGTATTTACGCTTCGATGTTTCATATTTCAAAGACAGCGCTCAAAAGTTTTTTTGCAATGTGTTTTTTTTTTTGTGTTCGTTCAACCTTATGCCACGCCGTCCGTTCGTTCCGGTCACGTTGTTGGTGTAAATAAAATTTAAACACACAATATGCTGAACGCATTTATGAAAGTGTAATATTCAAGTTTGTGCGTTTGATGCGTTACCAAGCCCGAATGGAGTGAATACTCTCACATACACGAGACACAGCCTCAAAACACATGAATGATATCATTGTCTCCATATACAAGTGAAGTTAAAACCACATGCACTTTAAGCTGCCAAGGTGAATTCCATTATTCAAACTTGGCTTTAAAAACAAAAACAACTTTTAAATTGATTTTTACTTGTTCATGGTGCGCGCCCTTAATCTCGCTCACTCACATTGTCTCGATTTCATGTGCGTGCGGGTGTATTTGTTTGTATGTGTGTGTACGTTTTTTCATTGAATTTCATGCACAAGTTGCAACGTTTGACTATTCCATGGTGATTTTCGACTTTATCTTTTTATTAAACAAAAGAGGAGCCACGATAGCCGCATACTATAAATTCGATCCTTCTCTTTTTCGCTTTCATTCGACTCACAGACATATACCTTGAACAGATGCTACAACGATGCTCAAACTTTCTCTCTCTCTCTCTCTTTCTCTCTCTCTTCCCGTCTCGAATGAAAGTGGAAACAAGTGGCACGAACATACACACATGGAAAACACTTCAATATCCGTAATATAGATAAATTACGGTAATTTACGGTTATTTTGTACTCTATGTATGTATATATTGCAGTGCTCGGTATGTTTTTTTTTTTTGTTATCCATACATTCGCCTTTATATCCGATATTTTGCTGTTTTTCTTTCCCTCTTGGAAGTACGTATGTAGTCTAGTTGTATTACTTATTCAATAAACGGCCAATGCAAAAGATAAAATGCATATCTTTTTCGCTTCAAATTTCTATTAATTTTCCGTAAGAGCTTTTACTGTCCATTCCACTTTCATTGAAGATTTAACTGTAACTGATACTCTTTCCAATGAAAGAGGATATATGTGTGTGTGTCTGTACGATTGAGCATGTATTCAATATAATCACGGTACATTTCGAATGAATCTACAGTAAAATCACTGCCTTATGGATTAATTGCATACTCGAAATGTTCGCGTTGTATTCATGTTTGGCTAGAAAATCCGAAACCATTTTCTAGGTTTTCAAATATTTCAAAAATTGAATCATACCGGAAAATATAAAAAAAGTCAAAAATCTCCTCTCAGTCTTACAATCTACTCATCAATTCGTGTACATGCGTATAGGGCACGTCCCGAGTAGAAGTGGTAGATGGGTATAATATTACTAAATGAGTTTAATAGTGTGCTTTAAAATTGAATAATAAAACTTGCTTCCGTATTTTTTTCTCTCTGTTGATTGCAAATGTATTTTGTTGGCAAAGTGTCTGAATACATTTTAATTATACATAACAATGTTCATGTGTGTGTTTGTGTGTGTAAAAAGTTTGTCTGTGCAAAGATTGAAATTAGAGAGATTTTTCTAATTCAATTTAGCTCATGCAACATTTTTCGCTAACAAAGATTATAAAGTTTGATCTGTGAATGCGGTATTTACCTGAATTGTGATAACTTTCTTCCGTTCCATGTATGTCTGCACATGTGTTCAAATGTCATCTGTGTTGTCGATATACATTTTCTCTTCTGCGGAATGTGGAATGCGACAGCTCAATGGATAAATCACAATTTACTTAAAATGTAACTGAAAAAAAATTGAAATATTCCATTTTATTAACAATCAACAAAACTCATGGCAAAGAAAAGAAATTGTGATAATCATTCAAAAACAAAAGTCAAACTGTGATAAAAAGCCGGCTGCAAGATTTTTACCATGTAACACACTTGATTCAACAAACTTAAACTCTTGATTCAGGCCACTGTTCTGATGTTTAAACGAGATTGAGAGAGTGAGCGAAACAAATACAAATAACAACAAAGGAAATTTCAACAGGAAACACGAACAGAATATTTCGATCTTTGGCACCGAACGTTGAAAAAAAAAAACGAATTGTGAAAAAGCGGCTTTTTTACATCGTTCACACACACAATACAGAATGAACCGTTTATACGAGCTTTTAGGCTACGACTGGCAACACATTGCAAACATTCATTCATGCACACACCCGATATTTATTAATGTCGTTGGCACGGATTCCGTGCTGTTGTTGCTGTGGGTTTTTCATCGGTGCGTTCGCAACTCCTATTTTGACCGTTGTCAGTTGTTATGTACCGTGCGAAAGGTGGACGCGACGATGAAAATTACGATGCCAACACACAAAACGAGAAGAAAACACTACAACAACGTAGGCATCCGTTTGTAACAGTCGCGCTGACACAACATATGAAAATCACTATCAAAATTGTACGACCGGTTGCAAGATGCGTCGAAGTAAATGATACATTCACTCCAGAAATAAGACCGAATGATAAAATGTACGCACGTACAACAAGCGCATTGTGCGTGTACTGTTATTTCGATGACACCAAGCGGCTCTTACACATAGCACGTGCTATACACACATCATCCCCCGTTGCCATTACAATTATTTTATAACTTAAGCGGCAAAAACATTGAACACACAGGGGCAACGCTGCGTCTTCGAAATTCGAAATTGGGGAAACTCAATGTTGTTCTCCAATCACATCTTTTCATTTTTGTTTTTTTTTTCGATTTTTTCTTTCGATCAAAAACACTTTTCTTTCCTGATCGATAACAAAATTTTCGTTTCGAAATATTATTGAATTTATGTGTGTGCAGCCAGGATTTAGTTTAAACGAGAAAAAAAAAAGAATTTCCAAAGAGTTACACTGAATGAACGTTGTGAGACTTTGAACCGTCCATATAAATTTTCCATTATTTCAGCCCGGTTTCCATCGCAAGCTTCCAAATCGATTTATAATAAAATATTAAATTTCAATAAATGAAGTGTATTCGAAAATGTGAGATGGTGATATGCGTATGGGTAGCATACACATCTATGCAATATACCGTTGCTCGGTTGAAATTCGATCAGAAAATGAACACGATGATAAATTGAATCGTTCCAATTTTTTTTTTTCATCTCATTTACTCATGGCTTGTCGTATTGGCTGAAACAGCGATACGAATATGGCACATGTGGCGATGGTGCTATGAAATTGCAACACACAAGCATTTTTCATTATTAACTGCTTTTATCAATAAACAAAACCATTTAATTCATGAACTGCGAAAAGTAATAACGTTAAATTATTACTTGTTAAGATTTGCTCGCCAAATTAAAATGGCATCGCCAAAGAAAATGTTATTATAAAAAAGTCTGGCTGAGGCACGAATACAATAAATTTTTTCAACTTTCAATCGACCAAAGGGAAAAACAAATTAGAAATCCACTTTGTTCGACTTTTATGTGTTTCATTTTTGTTTTATATGGAAATGGTCTCGGTTATCAAAATCTATTGCTTTGAAAATGCCAATGTTTCACTGATTGAGCGCAAATAATGACGACCGAAACTTCAGAATAAACTCCATGTACCGTTTCGTTGAGGTAAATATGGCATTTTCATTTGAAGCGTCGCACAATTCAAACATGTTGATTTGAGAAAGCAAACGGTAAACACAAAGAATTTGTCAGACACATTTTTTTATATGTGTGTTGAACGCAGCAGGTTAAGAAAAATGAGTAACAAAGAACGTCATGATGCGAAGTAAAAGAGCTTAATATCCATTTTACTGCTTCGAGAAAAATACTCTTTTTTTTCTCTGAAAATGAAAAGAAAAGAAATGCAAGACATTTCAGAGACGAAGCCATCGGCTATGAAATGACCAAAAAGAATCTTTGAAACCAAAAGAAACAAACATTTGCGGTTGTTGGCACATACACCCGAACTGATGAGCCACTTGGTATTTCACTCTGTATGATATAAATATGTAGTCGGTCTTGTGTGCGCATCACATTATAGGTATTGAACATTGATATTTCATATTCATATGATATTTCTCAATTGGATCCATCAATATTATAACAGCATCGGTGAACGAGAAATACACCTGAATCTAATTTGCTGGTAGCGCTTGATTCACTCATAAGTTAGCATCCGTTTGCATTTGACACCATACACACACACTCGACACTCGATGCAAAATGTGAGCGGCATTTTTATCATGTGATACATGAGCTTTGAAGACGAAAACAATATGCACATCTAATATTTAAATGGATGCGAACAAAAGTGTGTTTGTGTATGTATAAAATTTAAGCTTTGGCAAACGATTCGTAACAGTTCCCTCTCTGTCGCCTTTCTCTCTCAATTTCGGGCATCGAATTTCGATCGAATTTGATGTAACTTTCAATGATGGTCCTAGAATCTCAAAGGACATGTATTCGCTCCCTTTATATTTCTTTTAACCGAAATTGTGTACAACGACATAAACACATTGCATACATTGGTCCCATGATGCGGCATCAAAAAGGATCTCGTATAATAATTTGCCAAATATTACTTTGCATCGGATACATCGTTTTTAGACGTATCGTAAAATTTTATTATTGAAAATAACCGAACTTTGTAGTTCTTTGCCCGATGCAAAATACATTCAACAAACAAACAAATGTGCAATTAACCGCCATTGCATTAATTGAAATTGACTGATGTTAAATCTCTTTAAACTGCACATTTCATTATGAGATAACCAACTTTGTACTGCTGTGCGTAAGTTCTCTTTTTTACATATATTTTGTGCATACATCAAGTGGTGCACTACCCCTGTTTCGAAAAGCTTTCGCGGGGCGGTAAATGAATTGATGGATCATGCGCAATTTGTATGCGGCAATCATCAGCGGTAGAATGAACTTAGCGTGTAACGTTCGGTTTACGTTATCGTTCTTCCGTTGTGCGTTCCGAATAATTCTCAGTGAAATGAACAGGCTCAAATTGTAGATATGGATCAGTGCTTTCTCTAACGGCGTTTTATAAACACACACCAAAACTTAACGCACCAAATTCCCGCATATTTTCGGTATTCACACGAACTAAAACAAAAAAAAATTTTTTTCGCAAAGTGAAAATCTGAAACATATCAATTTTTGAAATTTTTTTTTTTGCACATTTTAGAGTGCACAGTAGAAAATTTCACAGAAATCATTGGATTTCAACATCACACTGCATTTAGCATTTCAACGTAAAATTAAGTGTGGCAAGAAACCACAAGAGTGAGTGAAATGACTTGTTTCAATTTGTATTGAATACAATGTTTGTGTGAAATTCGTTCAATCGGTAAAACGTTCTAGACCCGATCATAAATAAATTATCGAGTAAAACATCACATAAATATTGTGTAAATGCGTGAGTGAGACGGTGAATTTGTGAACTGAATTGAAGTGCGAACAATTTGTGTATATATTGTACGATAGTGCAGTAAACGACAAATCACACGCTATGGATTTAAACACCGGATTATGTTTGTAGTTCAGACTTATGAAATAAAAACGAAATATATGGCAGCCATCTCTTCCGACATAAAATGTTCTTTCAACACACATTTGGATTAAAAAGTTAGTTGAATCATCAATGGCAACTAATTAAATTTTTTTTTTTCGTTTCCTATTTGTTCGTTTTTTCAACAACATAAACACACATTTGTGGTTTGTTCTTTTACTTTGATAATTTGTAATCTGTTGGAAAAATTGTTGTGCGCTTCGTGTTTTACTGTAGGAAAAGAAAACAACAACGACGAACAAAAAAAAAATATTTTGTTACAAAACCATCGTACAACAGCTTAAACTTAAATAGTTTTAAAGAAATAAATAAAACGGAGGGAGAGAAAAAAACGGAAATGTGCGAATAGTTTGAGAAAATGTTCCATAAAATACCGCAAATCGTTGATTTCCTTCACGAGCTCTCCTCTCATTTCAACCAACCAAAAGAAAAAATCCCGTTAAAGAAAATGAAAACAATCGCTAAATTTTTCTCATTTGATTTTAATTGGTTCACCGCAACAAATTTAAGATCCTATCCGCTTGCTTGCAAAAGAAAAAAAAAAACAAAAATACTTACAGAATTAACGTGGAATTTTAACCGTTTTCTTTTTGTTCGTATTGTATGTGTTTGTTTTTCCACGAAAAGTAATGTTGAAAGCGAATGGATAGAAAGGAATCGTGGGTTTTGAAACAACACACCGTTCTAGGATATTATGTGGCAGAGAGAGCATTTGAAGCAACATTATTTGAATTAATGGAAAATGCAATAATCTGGAAAATGTGGAATTCAGGAATCTTCTTTTAGAAATGTGCAAAAATACGATGGCGAAACGGCGAAAGAGAAAGCGAACCAGAGACTTAACATTTGTTTTATTCATTTATGAAAAACGCATTTGTTTGTTTTAAAATTGTCTACCTTATAAAAACATTCACAAATGTGCTTGAGGTTAAAAACGAATGCTGAACATTGAAAATTAAAAAATAAATATGTGCCAGAGGCATTTTTGCGATTTTTTTTCCATTTCGTCTCGTCCTCAGCTTATATTCGTATTGCATGGGCACCGTCTGTATTGACCTGTACAGAAAGTGATGAAGAGGTGAAACCAACTGACAAGCTTCAATAAAAAAAAGAACGAGAGAAATGCTCGGCATTTTATTTTTCTGCAAAGTGTTTTGTTTTTTCTAATTTTCTGATTTTTTTTTTTAAATAAATTTTTAATTCTAAAAAGGGGAGAGAATCCTCCCTTTTAGAAAGGAAAAAACCCTCAATCAAGCGAATGGGAATCAACGAAAATTAAAATGAAAGGTCATGCATCACTCTGTTGAGAGATGAGTTGCATCAAATGAGCACGCAAAAATATAATGGGATGAATAAATTGTTCGGTATATTTGAAAGAAACTCGGTAAATCACACCGGTGCAATCAAAATTATGGCTGGCACTTTTTTTTTCACTTGTTTCTGCTTCAGCTTCTGCTGCATCTTCTGCTTCTTTTTCGTCTAATTATTCGTCATGAGTAACGAAAATGTGCTAAAGTTGGTGCATATAAAATGGAATTGGATTTTTGACACCGAGACGAGAAAAATAAAATTCATTCGACGGGTTTTTATCGTTTGAGCAAGAGAAAAACTTTTACCATTATGCTACTGCGTTTAATGGCACAGCGATGTGAGTCAATTATAAATGTAATTCATATTCCCTGAATACAGCTCATGTGCTATTACTGCTGTGGCTGCTGCTCGGCACGGTCAGTGGCACAAGTGTAGAATTTCATGTAATTTGTACGCAAAGCGAAAGAGTAACAATGAATGAAAATGGCACAGGGCACCAAGGCACATCCATCGTCATGCAATGCACGAATCTACCGTATAGAATGAAAACAAAACGCACACACCACACACACAAAAACACAAACTGAACACATCGGAATTTCTCATTTAAAAGCATCTTCGAACTGTTTATTCACTGTCACATGAAACGGATACGATTTTCTCTGCCACTTAATTTGCGAGCCATGCATCAACATTCAGATTTTAAAATGCTTTTTCTCATCCAATGGTTTACGATGTGTGCAGTTAACTGCTAGTAAAAAGTCGCACAGAGATGTAATAAAGTAAAAACAATTTGATGTGTCATGTCTCTTTGGTTTATGCTCAGAGAGAAAAACAGACAGACAGACAGAGACAGAGAAAAAGTGAAAAGAATGAAAATATACAAATTCTTCGGAAGTCATTGCAAATATTCGGGTGCATTCCAACGGAATTTTAATTAAAGCATTTTAAACATGTGAGACTGTTTTTTTTTTAACCGTCCGAAATTATGTTTGTTTTTCGAATAAAATACTTTGTAATCCGATGTTTTCATCCGTACATAATCAAAGGAAATTTTCTTAGAAAAAAATGTGTCGAAAGAAATATTTGGTTCAGCACAAGAATGGTTTCTCTTAAAAACCGAGCGAATTCATTCGTATGAAAATTTAAATAAAAACTCTTTTTTTTTAAACCGACATTATTCATACTGAATTGCTAAACGACCCGCAAAAGAGAACTGTGTCTTCTTTTTATTTCGAACAATGTGAAAAAGAGTTTATATCAATGTCGGTATACTGAAATTAGTTTGTGGTTGTCATAATTGAAACGTTGTAACCTTGGCACTTGGCTTGGTTAAGCGTCACCCTGCATTTGCATCGAGTCAAGCTTCATTTTCACAGAAAAATGTTACTGAGTACCGAGGCTTATAACTTATGATGTCAAGTGAAAACGGATTTTTTTTTATCTTTTTCCCGTTCTTTTCAATTTGTGTCCATTCATATTTTTTTTTGTATGCTTTCTTCCATTTCACCGAGAATGATTGTGTTGCAAAAATGCGAATAAGAAAATGCCAGTAAAAATCAAGCTCGAGTCAAAATCATTTTTATGCATTCAAACCAGATTTCATGCGAAAAGTAGTGCTAGTCGATCCCTTCGTTTCATTCCTTCTCTCCATCTCTATCTTTATTTTATTTCATTTCGAACAAGAGAAATAATAACGTAAAACAGAGTCGTACATTAAGAAAAGATTTCCCTGATTTTGTGTAGTTCTGCATTTGTAAACAAAGACATTTGTAGTACGAAATTTGTAAAAAGGAAAACATGTCAAACTGAAATAAAAACCGGGCGATGTAGGAAAAATGACGAAGAAATAGAAAATTCAGTGGAATGGACAATGAGCCCAAATAGACACACAACGATGCTGATGATGAGGATGGTGATGCAACGAACCATTTTTATTGTTATGATTATTTTCGCTTTCGTCCGCCTCTTTTTCATGGATGTTCGTTCGCATCTATCGTCTGCGGCTATCCACAAGAATTTTTCAAACTTCGCTTGTTTCTCACTCAATTTTGGTGTGTGTGTGTTGGCGCATCTTCCATTTTCTGCTCTGCAACGAATGAACGAGAGAAACGTGAGAGAAGAGCCACTGAATCCAAATGCCAATATAGTCTCGGAGATTGAGCTATAAAGTATTCAGATTTTGCGTTCACCATTTTATATATTATAGCGTGTGCAATGCTTTCATTTCGATAATAAAATTCAAGTGCTTTACTATCTTTCCCGGTATTATGTTTGGCAAATGTATTCCAACTTTATTCTTGTTGTGGTGGCTTTAGTCGTCGTGTGTTTTTTTTGTCAGCGGTCCACACCAATTTTTGATTCTTTGTTATATGTTTCAACTTTTGGACGCACCCAAGAGAAATTCGGGGAGATTCGGAGAAAAAATGCTTGCTAATAAATATGTTTGGCTAAATGAATACAAAATGTTGGCATTAAGGATGAATGTACAATCCTTGTGCACATTGAATAATATTAAAAACATGTATTTCCCGTGAATATAAGTAGTTTAGATTGACTAAAAGTATATGGTTAAATGGACTTATGTTATGCGGGGATTGGTCTCTTCAATCTTGTTGGAGTTGTTCTCGATGATTGCGATGAATGCACGTATACAATCAAATTTGATATTATTTCTTCAAGATTTTATTTGATACAAAATATAATTTCGGACAATTTTATCTCAACGGTTTTATTCTTCTCTCTCTCTCTCCTTTTTTTGGTTTATGCAATTTTCTTTTATTCAAAACGAAACAAATTCTAACAAACAATATATGCTTATGCGATAATCTTGTCTCGAGATGAACGGAATGTTTGCTGAACACTTTCAATGCAATTTTATAGAAAAGCATTTGAAAAGAATGTTAACAGAAGTTGAAAGATAGAGGAGATAGAACGAGTTTGAACTATCTCATTCTCTGTCTCTCCATCGGTCTCCGTTGAATATCATTCCGTTACGATGCATATTGTAGTGAGTGAAATTTCTCCCCGAGTAGAATGCATATCTGACGCATTCAAATGCTTTGTCATGCCAACAATTTGATTGTTATTTTATTGTTATCATAAATTCAAGCAATTGAATGTTTGAAAAGAAAAACATGCTTCAAATAAGTCACAGAAATGCTTTTGATTGAAGTACTTCGTTGAGTCAGACACGCACATAAATATATATATGCATGCACAATTTTCAAACGAAATTTAAAGAGTTTGTATTGCAAACAAAATAAAACTAAGATTTCATTTCTTTTTCCAAACTCACTTTTGGAACTTTCAACGATTTTTGGAGATTGTGTGACAGCTTTGCAGAAACATCACACTACCATAACACATTTGAATGGAAAACTTTGATTATACATTTTTTTTTCTTTACTTTTCATTCATCATGTGTTTGTGAGAAAGTTTTTACATGAAAATCAAGATGAATGGAATGTATTGCGATTGAAATTATGATGAATGCAGTGGAAAACGTTTCGATATTATCGAATTCACTTGTAGATGTCAATACACTGTGAGACGGAAATAGCATTGCATTATTGTAGAGAAAGAAAAACCGATTCAACTTTGGCGAAAGTCGGTTTTTACCTTGGCAAAAATGCAAAACTCCTCTGTTGTCAACACATACAATGCTTTAGATAGTTGAGAGCAGGCCAAAAACTTACACCACAAAATGCTACGGAGGTATCAATAAAAGGCGTTATTTAATCCA